TCCGTCAGAACCTGAAATCTCGTAAAATTAGAACAGTAGCATCCTTCGGAGCCCTAATATTTACCACACCTCCAGGAGTCCTTTCATGATTCCTCTTGTAACGAACTGCATTCTTCTTCCCCTTCAGCGTAGTTTGCACGTTTTACGGCGAATTCAACAACGTCGGTGGTGAGGTGACCCCGTGACGTGATCGCTTTAACAGAATTGTCACTTGCAAGTGATAACGCATCTGACAGCCGCTAGTGAACGCTCGCATGTCGTTTTGTCCCGCCTTTCGTCACATTCCATCTGTACCCATTAAATAATCTTCCTACACCCATTTTGCTGTTTCACTTTCTCTATTTGCGTGTTAAGTACTTTCAACATTTTCCTATATCTTTGTTTCTTTTTGCATTATTTTCTGTGATTATTTTTGCATTCTCTTTTAATTTGTTTTACCTTATTCCATGTTTTCGTTTGCACTACATTCTTTCTCTGGTTTATATTCACTCACAAGCAATCAATCACAGGATAAAGCCGGACAGAGCATAAAATTCACTTTAATCTTGAGTGAGATTTGATAATGCGTTCGTTTGTCTTCAGTTTCTCCACACTCCTTGAGCTTTCACGGTCCTTGTAATATGAAATATTTTCTTTACCTTAAACTACAGCACGCAGATTCGAACCTCGACCCCTCGACTGTAAGTTTTGGTCACTGTCGTGTGTAGAGGGCTTGAAGTGAAAGCAGCTGGATACACGTATGTGTGTGTGTGTGTGTGTGCGCGTCTCGTGTCCATATGTGACTTGTTCGGGGGGGGGGGGGGTTTATTTCTCTTCTCATTGTTACAAACTGGTGGATGGATCTTGCACTGTCATGTACCCTACATATAAAACGCACACGTAGGCTCGATAAGTGTATAATTTAGGCTCACGCGTTCTACTGACACTCTTGGTTTATTCTGTGAAATTTTGGAAGCGCCATCGTTTCGACTTGGACGTCTGCCTTTCGCGTGAACAGCCAGTTTTAGTTAATTTAATATAAGTTATTGGCCAAATTAAATATTTTCCCCACACAAGATCGACTATCGCTTTATATATTTAAGTGAATTTTTAAATTGTTGAAACATGTTAAGTCTGCAGGCTAAAATTACAGTCACTAATAAGATTAACATTTTATGTTCACATAATTATATAATAACAACATAACACATTTGAATTTTATGTTAACATGTTATATTGTTTTATAGACAGTGATCATTAAACATAGAAGTAGTTTTAACATACGTAATCATGTGCTCATTTCAAATACTTCCTTTTGCCAAATGTGCTTATTAGATTAATAATATGCATTGTTATTAACTTATTATATAACAACGCCATATGAATCTAATCTACAATCTCCCAACCCTCTCTTCTAAGATTTTTTTAATATTATCCTCCTATCTACGCGCAAGGCTTCTTCGTGCTCTCTTGCCTTTAGGCTTTCCAACCAAATTTATTTAATAATTTCATATGTCTAATATGCGCGGTACTTGGCGGAATCTTCCTTGAAGAATTTATGATGCTTAGGTGTCTAAAATATTATATACTTTTATAGATCATAAGGTTCATTATCGTTTAAACAAAATCCTGCCATTGGACTCTTAGTGAGTTAGTCCGTAACTTCGCGACCTGTTTATGAGAACATCATTTTATATTTGCATTCTACCTATATCTGTTTATTCTGATCTTTCAAAAAAAAATCTATTTCCTATTACCTATAAGTGGAATATGCCCCACCCAAAAATTCTTTTATGTAATCATCCTAACAGTATTAGCTGTAGAGTACAAAATGTGATTATTATAATTATTATAATTTTCGCCGCCCTTCTATTTTTCACTTCGTCCTCAACCATCGTCATTCATTTTCCTACAAATAACGAAAACGAGCCAAAACCAATGTTTTTTCCCCATTTAGTCGCATTTTTTTAGACCAGTATGTGATTTATTATGTTTTAAATTTTACAGGCATCTTTATTTATAACTCTCTGTGGTACTTCATTCGCTACACGACTCGTTACTCCTTTAATTGGCTAATTCAGTAAAGTGAGGTTGAAAAAAGACGAAAGCCTCAAATATACATGTATATACGTATATCTCTTTTGCATCCTATCTCCACCAGTGTTTGTACTCTCTCCTGCTTTTATTTAACCTTTTTTAATGTGAAGATTTCAGAGCCATTTGGTCATTATCTCCCCCATCCCATTTTTTCCCCACTCATCTGCACAAAGGTTTCTGACCTAACCCCGCTCTCATCGTCGTGTCAAAGTGCGTAACTAGACCACGCATGTCTGTGTTTTCTTTCACATCAACTCCACGTGGACTGCTCTTTGTTCATTGTGACGTACGCACATGAGTGAGAGGGGTTTCAACGGCGAATGGACGCTGTTAGCAAATGTTTAAAGGCGTAACGTCTCTTTTAAGGTCAGTAATACAAATTGAATTATAAAACGCACAAATTGTCTCATTGTTGTGGACAGAAGTTCTTAATTTTATTGTCGGAGGCCAAGGTTATCGCAGGTAGGCTTTCAAAAAATTGTAACGAGCTACACTTTCAGAACGTAGTTGAAATTCAGATCTTAACTCTGATTCCTGACGTAATAGAACTACTGTGTTATGAAATTCGGTTCTTAACTCTGATTCCTGACGTAATAAAACTACTGTATTATGAAATTCGGATCTTAACTCTGATTCCTGACGTAATAGAACTACTGTGTTATGAAATTCGGTTCTTAACTCTGATTCCTGACGTAATAGAACTACTGTGTTATGAAATTCGGTTCTTAACTCTGATTCCTGACGTAATAAAACTACTGTCTTATGAAATTCGGATCTTAACTCTGATTCCTGACGTAATAAAACTACTGTCTTATGAAATTCGGATCTTAACTCTGATTCCTGACGTAATAGAACTACTGTGTTATGAAATTCGGTTCTTAACTCTGATTCCTGACGTAATAAAACTACTGTGTTACGAAATTCGGTTCTTAACTCTGATTCCTGACGTAATAGAACTACTGTCTTATACAGTCGTCAGATTGCAGTCGTACATTGGTACAGCACATTAACTGTGTATGGCGTACAGCGTTCGAAGGCGCCTGTCTATTATCAGTAAGAATGCAAGATTCTTGTCATAGTTTTCTGAGGTGTACGTCTGTAGCTCTCTCCCTAGCAACTTCTGAAACAAGTAACAGATGTTCTTTAGCCCATGCTAGTAATACTTTACAAGATTGTAACATAAAGATAACGGTCATGCTAATTTTTTATTGAGTAATGTCGCTGTTTTTATGTGTCGACAGCTCTAGGAATGAACTTGGTCAGATTTGAGGTTCTTATATCACCGATGATGAAGATGACTGTCCTCTGGGATGTTGCGTTGTGTAGTCTGGTAGAAATTTACCAACGTTTCAGAAGTGCTTGATGCCTCCATCATCAGGGCGATGAATACTGAGCCTAGAATACAGTCATCTTCATATATAAACTTGTGGTTATATTTAAGACAAAATCTGTACGTATATTTAAATTCTCTGGTGAATAATTGATGAGTTACGAACATAAATTACGTCATCAATGCGTACATATTTTGCACAAAGCATATCTTCGTATTTAAAGTTGTAAATATGGCGAAAATTTAAGGCGTGTCAGGTAACTATCAGCTGGTTGGAACTCATATGACTAGAAATTATATATAAACAGACATAATTGTTCGTAGGCGACGTAAGTGTCCAAAGATCAACAAGTGTTACCAGCAGGTTAGCTCACGTGGCACGCGTTTGGATCCCTGACCGTGGCAATGGATATTCTATTTGAGAATCTGCGTGATTTTCCTCGTGCTTTCAGTGTAATTTCAGAGGTTCAAGGTGTCCCATAAAACATTCGTGGTTACTCAAGCAGTCACAAATTATCTGTTTATGGAAGTCGTATGTTCGTTACCTTATTGAAAGAAGCCTGACATTTTACACAATACCGAGCAAACTTAAACGTATCCATATTTTATTTCTTTAATATTCGTCGATTTATCCAACAATTTTCTCGTCTGGATCTCCAAAATGGGCTATTTCTCGTTAGCCATTACCCGTGCTACACATCTCGCCAGTCTCAAGTTTTATTATTTGACAGGATTAACAGTATTAGACGAATAGAACAAAGGTTTTTCACCATGTAATTTTAATCTTACCTTTTTCTTGTATCCTTTCCAGTTAATGCGTTGTCAAGTATTCAGCCTTGCTGTAGTTATTAGGAAGACCAAACACGTGTGTTGTTAAAGTTACAGGGCAGTGGCACAGTTTTCATGGGGAGGGTCGGATGCAGTGCATCTGAAAGTGGTCAATACCCTCCCC